TCGAAGGCAAAATTACCAAAATCGTGTCTGATTAACTGCCGCTCTTATGTGCACCTTCAAAATTACTACCCGCAGGATATGGATAAGGAACGCGAACATTTTTAAGTGCACAATCTGAATGAATAACTTTATTCATGATTGAGTCCCTTGATAATCCGAACATGATTTCAATACAACCGAAAATGCTCCTCCTGGAAATACAATCTACGAACAAACCACGATTTTCTTTTTATACTGATGCTCACAGAACAATCACTTTTAAAGAAATTTCACGCTGTACTACGCTATACAGTCTGCAATTGACAAAAGAGAAACAATCCAAATGTCAGGGATTCGTGGGAAATTCAGAAAATCTCAGAGCAGTTCTGTAACGCTGAGAGTTAAGCTTATGCTCAGCTCGCATAGAGTTCCACATAGTGATGGTTCGGCCTTCACATTACAGCGTACATGGAGCACAATCAGATTTATTGACGACTGGCACGTCCAGCAAGAATATGTATGATAAAATTCGCCTTTGCGCGAATCACCCCCCTTTTACCCTGCATCGCTCGCTCCGCCCGCTAGTGCCCGGTTCATCGTGATCCCGGTCACGACACTCCGCCCGGGAGAGATGCCATAAAGAGAGTTTCTATTACGAGGGTTCAACTGCTGACCGAATCCGTGACGCTCAGTCACACGAACATCAGGGTATTTCCCCACGCGTTTTCTATCATGCCGGAGGAAGGAACACGTCAGCCATCACATGAGGCGTAACACGCTGAATTGCGATTGGCTAGTGGCATTCTCCGGCCGCGAGCGTCAACATGTTCAATGACTATGCATGAACAAGCCGTGAATTAAGTAAGTATGAGTTAACAGAGCAAGGCATAAGTTCGACTCCTGCTGCGCAGAGTCCGTAATCTTCTCTTGAATGATTAATCAAGACCATAATCGGCCATGAAGAGAGAACTCAATCGAACACTATTTCTATCAGTGCGCTGGAATATTTTGCGATGTATGGGTTTTCCAGAGTCTATGTAGGGAGGAAGTGATGATGATTGTTGTGTTTGCGCTTGATTAGAAGCAGGATCATTCGCGCGCTAACGTTCCATATCATCGAACTCTTGAAGTACGAAATTCTTATTCTCTCTATGTCTAAGTCATAAAGCCTTAGTTCGAGACTTCGAAAAACTTCTGAGCACTCTAGTGCTCCGTCTCCTTCGTGTTCATTCCAATCAATACTTTCTGGCGACGCTGTTTCTGAGTCCTTATCAAATTGGCCTTGTAAGGGTCCCTCCTAGGGACTACACTGAATAGGCGAGGCTAGAGTGTGAGACGACACACGAGAAGTGAATAATTTATTAACGAAACGCAATAACGAAATCACGAACAAAAGCACAAAAATGATAAGCAAAACAAACGGACACAATCAAAGTCCCCCCGTGGGTCGGGGAAAGAGAGGGCGTGGGATCCTATCATCGGCCACTAAGACCTTCTTAAAGTTACCTCCTTCGCGAACTACAGAGGTTCACCTGAGAGCAGTCACCGAGGGTCTATAAACACGTAGTCAACTTCGTAGGGGCACTGACGGCGGAGATGGGGGAAACACAATTGACGAAACTCCCTCTCGAAGTTCTTCCTTTATACGGTCTTTCCCGCGCCTTTTCTTTCCCCAGACGTATTTACTCCTGCGGCCCTCCTACCTCTTGACCACTAGGCCCCTACAGTACTCTGATCATCCTCGACCCATCGGTGTTATGATTTTAGGGGCATTTCTTCTTAAAAGGGACTCTACCGCTGCGGTTCTCTCTGCCCCGCTCTGACAACCTGAGGTTTCGTCAGATATTTCCGAGATGGAATCAAGCTTTCTGTCTAATTTCATGATAATATTAGTTACAAGATTACGTTGGTACGTATAAAAATGTAAAGCTCTTGCGAGTGGATGGAATTTGTCATCCCTCTTCAAATTATTCACAATCTGAAATGATATCATTAACATCATGCAGATGTCCAGTAAGACGTTGCTTGGGGGTAGTTAGCCCAGGATGAGATAAGCTCTGTCGAGAGTATGGGGTAACTTGTCGCTGGCTATATGTGACGTATGAGTGTGAGCCTAGTGAATGCTGAAACAAAGTGTTAATGTAAAAGAGAGAAGTTTTAAAAACGCGGCAAAAAATGTTTTCGTTCGCGGAGATTTTGCGTTGAAGAATAATTGTGAATGAAATATATGTTTTCGCGATAAACACTTGATATGCTGTAATGCTGTACGCATTTATGGAGTCCCTCGTAGGTCACCTGCATGAGGTATACCGAGGCTGTGGTACTCGGTATACCTCATGCATGAACTGAAAAACCATAGAATTTGGAATTAGAATCGGACCTGTAATGTCCCAAACCCAATCTGGCATCATAAATCCGCTGAGAAAGAAACGTGTTATATGGGTCTGTTAGCCTAGATGTAATGCTAGGTCTAACATCCTGACTAGATCTTATCGGTATCTTATCGGTATTCGGTTTTTCATTTGAGTTTCCTAGTGATAGGACTACTCATCTTTATTCCGGCATGACTTATCATGGAAGGCGTGAGGAAACTTTCAACAGTATGTTTTCGAAGGTTTCACCCTTACTCTGTTGCCGTGGTTGCAGCAGCTGGATAAAAAATGAAGGACGATGCTTTGCATTCAGCTCGTAGCACATTCCACGTCATCTTTTCGGATCTACATGCTCACAGCAATTAGCAAAAACTTCACCCTATCTACTAAATGAAATATAGAGATAGGCGAAAAAGTGTTCATGAATACTACAAAGGACNTAATGATCAAATGGGCTACGGTAGATTGATTCTGAACATTCTTACCTCTTTCTGTGATATAATGCCCGAGTGGATATGAAGAAGGAAAGTTTTTATGGTTCCTTGGAAACAGGTGTATGGGAAGATTTCAAAATATTCCAGTTCAACAGCCAGTCGCGAAAAAAGTGGAGAAAGTCGTACGCCACGAGATACGCAAGAACTTCATAAGACCGGCATAACTCCACAAAGAGAAGATCGTGAACGGACATCAAAGAATATATCGAATAATACAGAAGACTCAATCACTACTCTAATAACAAAACTCGATACTACCGAAAAAGGCATCACGATCGGGAAAGCAGAAAACGTGTATATCACTATCGTACGATGGTAGGTGAACTGACTTGAATAGCAGTTGAAAAAAAAATTTATGCAGTTAATCATAAACAGTTACCGTAAACCCTCCGAAGTAACCTAATGCCTTTGGGAAAAGTCTAGATCAAGATCGTCTATGATTCCAACCGTCGGTGGAATCCCAGTCAAATCCTCACTTTGTTTACCCACTCATTCAAGCTAGGCTATTTTGATTCAGACAGCACGATTTCCACTCACTTCGGAACGTAGCCATTTTCATGCGGCAATCACCACTGTAATCGTAAAGTGGGTCCTTTTGCACAACACAGGGATGATATCAGGATGGCAACATGTAAAAATGTTCAGAGTATGTAGATACATACGTCATTTCGCTGACCACCAGATTTCCATAGCGCGTCGTCACCGCAAGCATTACAACCACTAGTTTGCAGGGAAACAAATACAAGAGGGCATAACCGATAAAAAAACCCGGTACTATTCTACTATTACACCCCCAAAAACTCAAAATTTTAATTTTCGATGAAACTTCGCCTATAGGGGTCCGATGCCCTGATAACGAATATGACCTTNCTTGGCGCCAAATGGCGCCAACGCCAAAAGTAAAGGTCATATTCGTTATCAGGGCATCGGACCCCTATAGGCGAAGTTTCATCGAAAATTAAAATTTCGAGTTTTTGGGGGTGTAACAGTAGAGTAGTTCTGGGGGTGTAATAGTAGAATAGTACCAAAAAACCCTTCCATATTAATCTCTGGTAGGATGGCTATGCTTTCATAAGTGAATCGAACTTTGTACTGGATTGTAATACATGCTGTGCAATATGTGTTATCATGCTGCTTGCGAAGTACTATTTGATATTAGGGCTAGATTCCAGGAAGATCAAAAGTTAAAGTCTTTTGGGGTAAATCTTTTCGTTTCTGGGGCAGGCGGCCTTCTACTTCCATTCAGAACCGTAGGACATTTTAGATGCCTGTGTGCAACGGCGTGCGTTGAAGAGACGATCAGTTATGTTACATTACCGGGTATGTATACGAACGTGCGTCCGAGGATGCGCGCGGCAAATTGCGCGGCTGAGTTCGTGACTATTTGAACGACTTCAGCGCCTATCATTGGAGCTCAAATTTGAAATAGAGTAGGTTAGGAGGATCATCTGACCCTGCTAAACTACAATACTTTGAGTTTGTGCCCCGGAAGTTGGCGCCGCAGTCGTACAAATCGTTCTTCGCCGCGCAATTTGCCGCGCGCACCCTCGGACGCACGTTCGTACCGTCCCCCTACACTACCAGACGGGCCTGGTACTGAACATTTGACCCAGAAAGAATAGGAGGCTTGGTTGGCCTAGACGGGTACCGATCTGGGATTCAACCCCCGAACATGCACGAGTGGTAGTACGCTACCTTTAACTTCCCACTTGTGCACGTTAAAAGATGAAGACTCAAAAAATTGTGCAATGTCAAAACTGTTCTTCGTGGATTTTCAGTGCCTGCACATCTGCGCTGAACCCAAGTTGCCCATGCAAACGTTCCACATTCAAGCAATCGTGCCAGATTGGTAAGATTTATATACATGTTAAGTCTCACGAGTAGGATGAGCTTCGGCGAAAGTCTACTCCCATGGCTAATTCCCCTAGGGTCTGCCCTTCACCACGGTCTATCAAAAGTCGTCATTGATTGAAAAAGTGTTGTATTTTAAATTTCGCGCTACTTTTTCTCTTGCTTCTCACCTTTATTGGATTTGTTCTCATTCAGAACCATGAATGCAAAGTTGAATCTGACTGAAAATAGCGAAGTGGTAACGAACAGAGTAGAATTAACCAAAATTTGTCGGAATAATTGAGCTCAAGACCCTGCGCCTTTCCTATCGACCATTTCGATTACTCGAAAACCACCCCCTCATTTGAGCAGCAGATTTGTTGAAAGTTAATTTGTCAGCCCCAATAATTATCAGTTTCTTTATTGTATCATATCTCGCAGTGAATGCCAAACTACTTGCCAGTGAATCTACTGACCCTCGATTGCACACACCTGAGTCCGACCGTATGTTTACCAAACTTTTTGGAAGCTGCTAATTCGTTTTTTCTCATTCACATGCTTATGTACTGATGTAACGATAGTCTCATAGGTTTGTGCTATTCCATGCCTTTTAGGGCGAAAATTCAGTTCAGTTAAATGGAGCCCTGGACGAGAAGTGGGTTTTTCCAAGCATTGATGAAAAGCTATCAGATGATAGAATCAGTGTTGGAAATATTCTCAAATATAGATCACCATCATTACAGGTTCAACTGGTTGTAAAGAGGAAACCTAAAGCTGTACCTGAAAACGCTGCTTTGACAACTGCGAAAGCTCAGTGAGTAGTTTTTATATACCTTACTGAACAGAAAAGGACCTATAGAGCTGGGGGAGCTAATCCTTTATGGTCATTGCAAAAGTCTTTTTGTAATACTTTTCTACGAAAACTACCGGAAGGCATTCCTTCTAAGGCCTTGAAGACACATACGCAATACTCTAATTTTTGATCCAAGAGATGGCTCTCTCTTTTTTCTCCACTCAGTGCCCCCTTCCCCAACATTGGGCAAGACTCAAAATTGTAGGTGTTTACAGCAGTACTCCTTCACGTCGGTACGACCAATCATTGGAATCTGATGGAGGGCTTGGTACAAAAAATCGTGATCGTGTCTCTGAGCACAAGTTGAGTATTGAAGCCATCCCACAGGATAAACGACTCGCTAAGTCAACACTGAATGAAAATGATGCAGCTTTTATCCTTGGACCCACTTTGCCAGCTATGCTTCACCTTTTTCATTTTTTAATCATTCTGACAAATGAAGCAAACGTTTGGGAAGAAAAATGCTGGGATACGAAATCTACTCGTTGCAATACGGCCGTCACCTTCAGCGAGCATCTTCCAGCCGTTCTCGTGCATATTTCATCAAGATAGGACACATTGGACCTTAGCCATTTCTCTTAGCATCTTTTTCGAAGCGTTGAAAAATTTCTATGATGCATTATTGACCTGAGTACTTGCACAACCTTTGGCAACCTTGATTTATGAGAGAGTCGCTGCTTTCCCGTAACGTCATTACATTTTTCGTCTGTAAAGAAGAAAACCCGTATGTTTTCTCTATGTTCGACGGGAGTTTTACTGATGATAACAAATCAATCATACAAAAATTCCAAATGGTATCATTGCCGAAAAACCCACTCAATTGATAAGTAATTTGCTGATGAGCAAACGGCGGTCGATTCGGTTGCAAGGCCAGAAATTCGACCGTTCTCTGTTCCCCTCGCCTACCTTATACGATTACCGTGAGCTCTCAAGGATGAATGGATTGCTGAAAAAATAATCTAAAGATTTGTAACATAGAATTTTCGAGGTTAATCCCATTTTTCAACATTAATTCCCGAGACATTTTAAAGTAGGAAGTATAATTCATTTTTTCAGACTTTGATGAACTAAGAAAACTCTACTGAAAACTTTCTGAAAATGGTTAATACTCGTAGTGCTCAACGATCTTCCTGATCTCTTTGCAATGTGTGTTTAAATAAAATTAATAGTCCTAAATTTGTAAAAGCAAAAAAAGATATTGAAAATTGCAAATTGTTCCATAGGTTCATGAAGGT